GGGGAAGGGGGGTGTGGGGTGCGGGGAAGAGGGGTGCGGGGAACGGGGGTACGGGGAAGGGAGGTGTAAGTTTAGGAATTTTATTTTTTTTAAGGGTAATTTAGATATTTTATATATTTTTTTTTAAAAAGGAGGTGTGTTTATACGAGAGCGGAGGTGTGTTTATCATCTGCCCTAATTGAATTATATAGGCCCAATTCAGATAGAACTTTAACAAGCACTTGGTGGGATCACACATGGTTTAAGTGCTACTAGGATATCTACATACTTGGTTATATAATAATTTGAATTTTACGAAAAAAGTTAAGTTATAACAATTTATAAGAGAAAATGATTATTTCATTTTTTTTATGTGAATTTCACATAATAAAAAGGGGTGCTCTATTTTTTTTTATTATTTTATTTATTTTTATATTAAATTTATATATATATTTTGATTTTTTTCACAATGCACACTTATACGTTCTCACGATGCATTTTTCCTTTCTCATTTTTTAACACCACTACCTTGTTGTACATATATGATATTCCAAACGAAAATGAGATCTGAAAATATTTTTATTTTGATTATATTAAATTAATTTTAATTAATTAAGGAAATCTTATCTGAAAATGACAGCTTTTTATATTTCAAATTCAAATTTGATTTTATCATTAAAATCTTACCGTTACAAATTCGAATTAATTTTCTTTAATTACCGGATTAATTTTTTTAATTATTCGGATTTATTTTCCTTAATTATTCAGATTAATTTTCTTTAATTGTCGGATGCTTTACGTGATTTTTTAGTACCCAAAACTCATTTCTCTCTTCCTTCATTATGAGTTCTCAAATTTTCTAATTGCCAGTTCTGCTCCTCAATTCCTTGAGACGACCCTGTTGTATCCTGGAGGGCTTGCGCGTATCCCGCGGATAAGTCCTTAAGGTCAGTGCCATCACACGCCTCAGGGGAATTTTACTAACATTTATTCGGTGTTTCAAATTGCTCATAGCTGCATCCGCAATTTTATACAACAATATTAAGGACTTATGTTGTCCATGAAAATCTCTTTGGAATTTTGTAATTTTTGGATTTGGTTTCTTTCACCGGCAAAGGTAATTTTTTTATAAAATAAAAATAAATAAAGTATAGATATAATATTAGAATGAAAAGGAGGGAAATTATTTACCTAAATGTGTGAGGAGGAGAGAATGCAGAAAAAGGAAAGGTAACTAAACCAAAAACAAGGGTTTGGTGTTGAAAAACCCGAATTGCATTTTTTGAAATTTCAAAACACTTTTTATGACGGGTGTTGATTCACTTGTCAAAATTTTTTTTTATCATGTTGGGTGTCATTACACCTATCATAGAAAGGTTGGGGTCATTACACTTGTCATAGAAAGTTAACCCTATCCAACACATTCTATGATGAATGTAATGAGACATAGAAAGAACTTCTATGACAAGTGAATCAACACCTGCCATAAAAAGTTTTATTATATTTTGTTTTTCCTTAAATGTTGAGAAGTGTTTTGATAACACTATCACACACATATTTCTGTACATGCATCATTGATAGGGCTTAATTAATACATATTTTTAGTACATTACATAGGCTTGTTTGACATTTAAAAGTGTCTTGAATTGATGAATTGGTTGACATTTGTTTTAGTGGACTATTTTGGTTTCAATTCTAAATTCTAGTTAATTTTCATAATTCTTTCCACTTTGACATGTTGTCTTGTGTAGACCATATCTAGAGCTCCCAAACTCAGAATCAGAGTTCTTGGTGTCCTTGGAAAGCTAAGACAGAGCTATACGACTTCTTTGTTGGGAGTTTCACTCAATTCAAATGTTTAAGGGTCCAAAAATGCATCTCAATGTTACACCTCTGCATTTCATTTTGGATAATTACTTTAAGAAGTTATTGTATTAGTAGTCTAACATTGTTAACTAGTTGATTAATGGGTTAAGCCTTACAAATATTTTGATTAGACCTCCTATATTGGTCTAATAATAGATGTTGTCAGACTTGTTATATACACTTTATGCTCATTTTTCAAATTTTAAAGTTTTTTCCTCTACAAATTTCTCTAAATTCTCCCTCTCTCTCAATTTTCTCTCCACATTTTTACATGAATTGATTGCAACAACTCTATGAAGATGCATAGCTAAACCTTTGATTCGATTCAAAGTTTCATGAATTATGGTAAAATTTGAGTTCCCAGTCTATTTATACTATAAATTCTCTTTATCTATAATTTCTTCATTCTGGATTTAATTTTTGTTTTCATGATTATGAATTTCATTTTAATTAGATCTTAAAAGATTGAAGATTATTTTTGGATCTAGATTTAGATTTAGATCTAGACCTAAAATAACCTAAATTGTCTAAATCAATTATACACCATTCTTGAGTTTTACAAAAATTGTGAGACCATGATTATGTTTCATGTTTTTATGAAATTCAATAGATATAGATATAGATTTATATTTTAATTATGTTCATGTTGATTTAGGCCGATTAAATTTGGATTATATTTTGAATCATGGAAATTTTACCATAAGAATTGAAATCTTGAATCGATGCAATCTTTGATTAAAATTTCCATTCAATTTGTTGCTTACATTCTTAATTGTTTATTTCCATTCGAAATTCACAAAATCCTCATTCTAACCTTACTTGATAATTTTGGATCATATTGATTTGTGTTTTTAAGAAGAATGACCTAGATTGTTCTTTATATTACAAACCTAAGGGAAAATCTAGTAGTTTTTTTTTTATAGTAATTCGATAATGGTGCCATTTTGATAGCCTCCTCACCCTTGCCCATTTTCCTTGCTCTCTATGTTGCCCCCTCTTGCTAGTTCCTCTATTGATGCGACCCCTCGTGTCTTTGTCCATATCAAACATACGAGAGTTATGTGGTCATCTTTGAATGTGAATGACTCATGAAGTAGAGGCTCTAATTGGAGGCAATTAGGAATGCGATGCAACCCTCTTTCCAATTGTGATCATCGAGATTTTCCACCACATTCTCCAATGCCACCATAATTAACATCTTGATGCTTCATTTTGTTGAATGCAAGCTTGTAGATGCAATCACTGTGAATTTTTTTTCTTCTGCGTGTTAATCCTTTAGATCCACTTTGGGATGTTTCTTTATGAAAAGTTATTGTATTTGTCAAGTGTTCCTTTAGTTGGGTATGTTGGTGATTCCTTGAACATGGATTTGGCTATTATAGTGAATAATTTGTTCAATATATATTCCTTACCATCTTGATTGGAGAATACACATTAGGGGTTGTTGGGGTTGTGGGTGTGGGGAGGGTGGTCAAGCTAGGTTAAAGTGTATATATAAAATTAGTTGTAACAATCAATTTCATGTTGTTTTTTTAAATCGATTAATACCTTATTTCAAAAGTATTCACATACAACATCACGAGAAATAAAATTAGAAGTACAATCAATTTTGTAACCCTAAAATAACTGATTTTAAAGATCAATTTTCCACTAGTGACATGGAGTCCCACATTGGCTAGTATTGCCTTTAGAGAATAGTTTATATATGAACTTGTAATATAGGTATACAAAGAGGTTAGAAATAGTGGTGAGTCTCATGCCCATGAACATGGGCCAGGTAGCCTTGATGCACTACAAATTAGTTGATTTGCCTCGTGTGTGCAAGAGACACAGACATCTCTAAGTAAGCACAACTTCTCTCTACTCTTTCTCGCCTCTCTTCTTTCATCTTGTTATGGGTTTCGAGCCTTGAGAGCTTTCCAATTCTAGAGTCTTAGTCAACATCACTAAGAGGTTCGTCTTGTATCCTACGACTTACATAAGTAGATAAGCCTTTTAGGACAATGTTCAGTACATCTCAGGAAGTCATGCTTATTTTATCATTTTTTTAGTGAACTCTACAACAATATGTTGCATATACTACATTAGGTATGAGA